AGGGACGGGTCACGATGCCATCCCCAAGGGCATGGGCTCCAGCTGGGGCTCTCCTGGCAGGTGCAAGGTCGGCATCAGGCCCGCAGAGGTGGGACTGTTGCTGAGAGCAGAGGCCGGTTCAATGCCTTGCGACAGGAGGCTGTCCTGCCCCACTGAGGCCCACTTGGGAGAGTCGAGGGAGTCGCTGTTGGCAGCTGGCACTTAGTCCCCAGCTCCAGGGTGCAGCTCATCCTCCAGCACACAAGACGTTGCTGGATTAGGAGATAGAAAATGCAGTCGTGTCTGTACTGGGAGATGCTGATGGGGACAGAGCCCAGAGTTGTGGATTCGGGCCCCGGCTCCATGTGAGTGCACAGGCTGACTCCGGGAGTGCCCCCAGCGCTCCCTGAACCAGGGGACCAGCTGGGCTCCAAGGGCTCCTGTAGCGTGTATGTGTGTGGGGTGAATCCTCGGACCTTCCTGTAGTTCTAGGTAACTGGCACACCCCTGCCTCCTGATGGCAGAGCCCAGCTCCCTGGCTGCCGTCTCCCACCCTCGCCCCTACAGGAATTTCCAAAGAACTGCACGCCCAGGGCACAGATCATTTTTAGGTGGCCCTGTGGCTCACGGCCAAGGGCTGTCCCTGAGCTTGTGTATAAGCCCTGTGTGTGCTGAAGTTAAGAGTTCTGAACTGGCCATGTGAGATTGTCCAGGATTCCCCAGACTCACTCAGGAGTAGGACATTTGCCTGTAAAGGAGCCAGCACAGAGAGCAGAACCACTGGCATCATTATCTGGATTATAATCCAAGCTTCCCCCTCTCTCCGCTGCGTGGCTTTGAGGACGTGTGTTAGCCTCTGTGTGCCTGTTCTTCCCTCGTCTGCAAAGTGGGGCAGCAGAACACCCACGCCTCGGGCCATGGGGAGGGCTAGCCGTCAGGAGTGGGAGCTCCTCCTGGGGTGCTGGCGCTCGGCCCTAGGATGCAGAGTGAGTTTGGAGCTCGTATTTTAGAGAGGAGACAGACAGTCATTTTGCAGTTTTCGGTGGTGGTAAGTGATTCCTGGTAAGGGACTAGAAAGCGGTGGAGCGAAGTCAGGGAGGGCTTCTCGGAGGTGACATTTGAGGAAGGAACTGTGCGATGGGCAAATCTAGGAGAGAGTTCAGACGTTACCCAGACTCTGACATTTAAGGATAACTCACCACTGTAAGAGGCATCCCCACTCGGAGAGGGAGAGAGGCGTGAACCAGTAATGCCTTCTCCCTTTACCCCTGGAGGGACTGGGACATGGAGGATGGTGGAAAAAGAGTGTCTCGGTAGAAGCAGCAGCAGGGGCAGCAGGCACAGCAGAGAACCCGGGCCAGCAGGGCAGTGCTGCAGTCAGTGAGTTCCCGAGCCAGCGCGTTGGAACCACGCACCTGCTGACTGCCAGCCAGTGTCCCAGGCGCTGGGAGACAGCAAGGAACAAGGCAAAGACCCCCGATGATCCGGCGGGGAGAGCCAGACATGACACAGAGAGAATGACGGTAGAATTCAGGTCCTGGGGACAGGGGACTCGGGGGTGGGCAGCTCTAAATGCAGAGCCACTGGCTTCTCCAGGGAGGTGAGGTGTAAGCTAAGACTCGGCCTGATGGGAAAGGCCAGCCAGGCAGAATTCCGGGGGCAGAGCTTCCCAAGTTGCAGGAGTGGCCAGTGCCAAGGCCCAGAGGCAGGCATGAGCTTGGCTTCTGGACAGGGAAGATGCTGGTGCATGATACAGGGGCGGGGAGAAGGCGCGGTGGGAGAGGGCGACCCGAAGGGGCCGTGCAAGCCCAGTCTTGCAGACCCTCGGAGGAAATGTGGGTTTGATTCGAAGAGCACTAGGGAGCCACTGGAGAGTTCTAAGCCAGCGTGGGAACACGACTGGTGACGTTACAGAACCCTCTGGTTGCTGTGCGGCCAGTGGCGTTCAAGGTCGAGAAGGAACGCTGAGAAGCCAGTGGGGGGCCGGAGAGTGTAGAGTGAGGCGGTCACCGGGGTCAGACCAGGATTTACCTCGGAGGCACCACTTGCCGTGCCAGCTGGTGGGCTGGGCGTCACAGGGGGAGAGAAGAGCCAGGAACAAGGCCCAGGCTTTCAGCCTAAGCTCCAAGGTGGATGGGGCACCTTTCACTGAGCCAGGACAGACAGGCCTTCACTGGGTAAGTTGGCCACCTGCAAATTGGCACAAGAACTGGGACCAGAGAACCCCAGGGTCCTGGGGGAGCCCAGGACTCGTGCCCCGCCCCGCCTCCTTAACGAGTCTCAGCGGCAAGACGAGGTCCTTGGAATGGCCCTTCCCCGAGGCCGGGGTACCAAGCCCGTGCCTGAGGTCACCTCGGGAATGTTAATCACCCGTGCACCTGGCGGCTATCGCCGCAGCCTTGACCGATGGGCGTGCGCTAGCCATGGATCGTGACTGCCCCCCATTAATCATCGCGCCCAGCCTTCGATTGCGCTGCCCCGTTATCACCTGGCCGCAGCAGGCTCTGCGCCTTTGTCTGTGGGTGCTTTAATTAACCTAGTGACTTCGAGACACACCACACGCTGGTCTGTTTCCCAGCACGTACACAGGCTCTGCTCCAGGAAGTCGGTCAGGAGCAGCTGGCAGAAGCCGACCCGCGCACCACAGGCCCTGCACTAAGCCCACGGCCTTTGCAGAAGCCGAGACCTCCGGCTTGAACATGTCAGGGGCCCTGTGACATTGCCCTGAGGTCACAGAAGGGAGGGTCCCACATCGAGGACCTGGGAGACCCAACCAAGGCCGACGGGCAGCTGGATCTGGGAATGGACCCTTGAGATGGCTCGTGTCTCCCAGGCCCCACCCCAACACGGGTGGTTAGTGCAGCCCAGCAGAAGGCCAAGGCCTGGGCGTGTCTCTCTGTGTCCCAGAGGTCCAGTTTAGAAGGCTGGCATGGGGCTTGGGTGGCAGAGACTCTGCCCTCAGAATCAGCAGGATTTGTTTGCTCACTGAATCAACATGTTTTGAGCTGTCGCAGCAAGCCGCATGGTGGGTGGGTGGGGAAGTGCTGGGTGTGAATGAACAGATGAGGAAGTTGAGATCGGGCATGATACAGAGGGCGGGGGGCCGGGAGAGGCCTGTAGGGAACCGCAGACCCCTCCCCCCACCCCAAGGGAAGACGTGATCAGAGAGGTTCAGGGTGGAGGTGACGGCTGAGCCACATCCTGGGAGGAGAGTAAAAGTTCAAGGCCCCTGGCCCCACAGATGTCCACAGATGTGTGTCATGTTCTGAGGTCACCTAGAGGGGACCCGGAAGGGTCCTTGATGCCACGTGGGGGCCCCTGCCAGGCACATGGGGTGGAGTTTGGCAGCCTGGGCTTGGAAATGCAATCAGAGTCTTGGTGGAAAAGAGACACTTCGCATGGGATCATGTTCATCGCTCTGCTACTCAAAGACAGAAACCACTCCACAGGGCAGGGTCTGTTCGTTCTTTCTTTCAAGATTTATTTAGTTATTTGAAAAGCAAAGTTAGAGAGAGAGGAAGAGAGAGAGAGAGAGATCTCCCTTCTGCTGATTCAGCCCTCAGATGGCCTCAATGGCCAGGGCTGGGCCAGGCTGAAGCCGGGAGTCTAGAACTCCATCCAGGTCTCCGACGTGGGTGCCAGGGGTCCAAGGACCTGGGCCATTTCTGCTGCCTCTTCAGGCGCATTAGTAGGGAGCTGGATTGGAAGCAGATTCGAATTGGTGCCCATACGGGATGCCAGCATCACAGAAGGCAGCTTAACCCACTGTGCCACAGCGCCTGCCCAGGGGTGCCTCATTCTGTCGCTTTGAATCCCCACCCCTAACGCGTATTGACTTTAAAAATTGCTGGGCTTTATAATTAGAATGGAGACAGATGCTTTTGGTTAACTTGGCATCGATTAATTTTTCCAATTATAAAAGTAGCCCGTTCATTATGGATGATTTTGAAAAGGAGACAAAATCCTGTGTGGGCCAGTGTGTGGCACAGTGAGCGAAGCTTGCCGCCAGCAATGCCGGCGTCCTCTGTCAGAGCTCTGATTCGGGCCCCGGCTGTTCCATTTCCCACCCAGCTCCTGCTGGTGCACCTGGGAAAGCAGCAGAGGATGGCCCAGCTACCTGGGCCCCTGCCACCTATGGGAGAGACCAGGTAGAGTTCCTGGCTCCTGGCTTTGGCCTGGCCCAGCCCTGGCCATTGCAGTCATTTGAGGAGTGAACCAGCAGATGGAAGATTCTCTCTCTCTCCCTCTCTCTCTTTCTCTCTCTCTCTCTCTCTTTCTCTCTCTTTTCCTCTAACTCTGACTTTCAAATTAATAAATAAATATTTTTTAAAAAAAGATTGGAATTCTCAAAGTTAAATTCCTGGGGCAAAAGCAGTACAAGCTTTTTCCATAACTTGGGGGCAGAGAGGTAGAGACAGAGAGTCAGAGACAGCTTCCAGCCATTGGTCCACTCCCTGAGTGTCTGCAATGGCTGGGGTTTGGCCCAGCCAAAGCCAAGAGCTCAGAAGGCAATTCAGGACTCCCATGTGGGTGCAGGGACCCAAGTTCTTCAGCCATCACCACGCATTGGCAGGAAGCAAGACTCAGGAGCCGGAGCTGGGAATCAAAGCCAGGTACTCTGATGTGGGCACGCAGGCATCTGAACCTTGCGCTGCAGGTGCCTCGCCCAGGATGCAGATTTGGTGGTGGTGTTTTTAAGTTTGTGACACTTCCTTGTGTTGTCAGTGACCCTCCAGAAAGTTGACCCCAGTGCACACTGCACACGCCCACCAGAGGCCCCTCTGTGCCCCCATTATTATTATCATCTCCTCTTTGTCACGTGGCTGGTGGAACGCACCGTCCTCATGTTGCCATGTGGCATGTTTGCAGCTGTGTCACGTTCCCCCTGGCCCCCAGACCCGCCCGCAGGCCCGGCCATGGTGGGCAATTCCAGGATGTGGGGTTTGCTGGTGTCTCTGCTGTGAAAGTCGCTGAGCCCAGAGCCTGACCTGACGCTCCGCCGTGTTCTCTCTCTCTTTGAGGGTGCTATGATGCCCGGGCCAGAGTCCTCGTCTGTCACCTGAGCTCCCTGCTGCAGGTGCCCTTGCAGGAGCTGGAGCTCCTTGAAGACACGTTCCTGGAGAGCCTGAAGGACACCGGAGAGGAGGAGTCTGAGTAAGAGAGCCCCAGACCCCGGCCCGGAGCCAGGGTTTCCGCTGGTGACAGGACTCTGCTCCTGCCGCCCAGAGATGAGGCTGTGGGGTGGAAGGAGCACTGCACGAGGGGTCCCTGCTGCATCCTGACTTGCTGTGTGGCCTTGGGAAGTCACCTGCCCTCTCTGGGCCTCAGTCCTTACCTGCCAGGGCCCCAGATCTGTGGCTTGAATGCCCTATGACCCTGCTTGACCTCGGGCTCTTCCAACCCTTGTCCACAGTCCCGAGTGGCCTGGGTTCATATCCCACTTCTGGCATTTATCCGCTGTCTGACCTTGGCCAGGTGGCCCTATCTGGAAAATAGGAATACGGATCACGCCCTTCCAGCGTGGCTGGGGAAGGGGATGCAGAAGCGTCACCGAGTGCTTGGCCTGGGGCTGGCGCACAGGGAGGCTCCCCTGCCTCTCTCCGCCCTGTACCCCCCAGCCGGACAGCAGCCTTGCTCTCTGTGGGTATGCAGAGGAAGTCACTCTGCAGGAGCTAATCCCAGGGCAATAAATCAGCCCCAGGCACAGGCTGATTGCAGGCACTGGGCACCAGGCACGTCTCCCTGCCTCTGGGTTTTGTTTAGCCCTGGTAACCGTTTAAACAGCCCCACTACACCGGATCGGCCCCGTGGGAAGTTCAATCCCAAAGCCGACTTCAGAGCCAGAGCCGCTCTCCGGCCAGAGTCTGTGGGGCAAAGGCAAGGGGTGTTTCCTTGAGAAAGGAGAGAACGTGGTGTGTCGAAATCATCTGAAAACATTTGCTGTGCCTCCCAGAGCTGTGTCAGCAAGAAACCCTGGCTCCGCGCCGTGAGCATCGTCTCGGGGGCTGTCCAGCTTCTTCCCGTGTGCCGGACACGCGTGGGGTCCCACAGGCCTTGAAGCTGCGGGGCCTCGTAGTTGCTGTCTGGAAATCTCAGTGTCAGAAAGAAGCGCGGTGCTCCGCTGAGTGTTCTAGAACGCCAGAAGTGCCAGAGGAGGACAGGCAGGCGGCCAGCGGGAGGTGCAGCACAGCCCAGCCCTGCCGCTGACCGGGGGAGGGGCCGGACTCCCCTCGCCTAGGAAAGGGGGGCAGTCACAGCAGCCTCCTCTTAGGGCCCTCGCGGGCCCCATGAGCTCCTACCTGTGCTGGGCTTCGCGTGGGCCGGGACGGAGGGTGTGGCTGCGCCCACGTGCCGGGGGAAGCGAGCTGCCGCACTTGCGTTGTTACCGCCGTGCACAGGAAGGGCTTCCCACGTGTGTTTATTATTTCGGAGACCTCGTGGTGTCCGTCTGTGGTCTGGAAGGATCTGAGACCCGGAGAGGAATCGGAGCAGCCATCCAACCAGCAGAGCCGGTTCTCAGCTGGGCTGCGTGCCCAGCTCTCTGTGTGGCCTTGGGCATCAGCACCAGCTCTTTTTAAGCTATAATATTGGGGGTTTGAATTTTATGTAGATTTCTTGTAATTTGGAGGTTTTGGGTTTCCAGGGGGGGTGAGCGAACCCCTCTGAAGCCGGAGCCTGGGGTGTGCTGTGCTCCCCTCTGCCCCCGCCCACGTGCCCTGGGGCCGCCGACGACTTCACCACCATGGGCCTCACTTCCTTCATGTCTAGCCAGGGGGTGATGGTCGTATCCACGTCTCTTGTTGTTGGGAGGATTAAATCAGTTTTAAAAGATGTGCTAATTTATTTATTTGAAAGGCAGAGTTACAGAGAGAGAGAGAGAGAGAGAGAGAGAGAGAGAGAGAGATGGTCCCTCTGCTGCTTCGCTCCCCAGATGGCCGCAATGGGTCGGGGCTGGGCCAGGCCAAAGTCAAGGAGCCTGGAACTCCATCCAGGTCTCCCACGTGAGTGGCAGGGGCCCAAGCACCTGGGCCATCTTGCGCTGCCTTCTCAGGCTCGTGAGCGAGGAGCTGGATAGGAAGCGGACGGAAGCAGAGCAGCCAGGACTTGAACCGGCACTCACTTGGGATGCTGGCCCGGTGTTAAATTAATTACCTTGTACTGCTCGGCACGCTGCAGGAGGCCGCCGCTGTCCCCTCCCCGTGGCGCTGGCGTGTCTAACTTGCGGTGAGTGCTTGTGCCCCGTGGGTCTCGCAGATGAAGGAACAAACTCAGACAGGTGATACCACTCACCCCAGGTCCCACAGCGGGTGGACGCATCTGTCCAAGCCCTCTCCCCGTCCCAGCCGTCACCTACGGGATCCCTCGAGGCCTGGGTGCCGATCCCAGCTTCCCTGTCAACGCTGAAGAAAGCAGAGAATTCTTCCTGGGCCTCTCCCAGATGCGACCAGGAGGCCGCCAGCACGCCTCTCAGAGACAGCGCCCCCTGCCTGTTAATGCGAGAGGGGATTTCAGATTTGAAGGCCCTGCTGGGAACCGCTCAGACAGGGGAGACGCCATGGCAGCCGGGAGAATTTACTGGGACCCAGGAGATGAGCTGTGTGCCTTTATCACTCTTCTCAAGATGTCTTTAGGGGCCAGCATTGTGGCAAAGTGGGTTAAGCTGCTGCCTGTGATGCCAGCATCCCATATGGGCACCAGTTCAAGTCCCGGATGCTCCACTTACCATGCAGCTCCCTCCTGGTGGCCCCGGGAAAAGCAGTGGAAGATGGCCCAAGTGCTTGGGCTCCTGCACTCACATGGCTCCTGGATTCATGACCCTCACAAAGCTCCTGGCTTCAGCCTTGCCCAGCCCTGGCTAAGGCAGCCATTTGGGAAGTGAACCAGCAAATGGAAGACTCTCTCTCTCTCTCTCTCTCTAACTCTGACTTTCAAATAAATAAAGCTTTAAAACAAAAAAAGTGCTTCAGCCTGGGATCCGGCCTCTGCCTTTGGGAGGCCGGCGTGGAACGCCCAGCCAGGTCCCTCGCTGGGGCTTGAGGACGTGCACGTGGCCAACAGTGGCTCACGATGTGCTGGCTGCCTAACTAGCGGGCAAAGTCCGCACCGGGAGCAGATGCATCAGCTCTGTGAGTCTTCTCTTCCAAGGGAAAGGGAAGCGCATTCCAGACGTGACTCAGCCAGCGCACGTCACCCTGTGCTGGAGATGCTAAAATGCATCCAGTCAGATGAGGCTGAAGTAGTTGCAAGAGTAAAACGCCACGATAGTTCATGAGGACTGGCAAATGGAGTCGCTTTATATACAAAGTAAGTGTTAAGAATGTGCAGGGGCCAGTGCTGTGGCTCAGTAGGCTAAGCCTCCGCCTGTGGCACCAGCATCCCATATGGTTGCGGTTCGTATTCTGGCTGCCCCACTTCCGATCCAGCTCTCTGCTGTGGCCTGGGAAAGCATAGAAGATGGCCCAAGTGCTTGGGCCCCTGCACCCACGTGGGAGACCTGGAAGAAACTCCTGGCTCCTGGCTTTGGATCAGCTCAGTTCCGGTAGCCTAGCAGTTAAGACACTGATTAAATGCTCAGATCCGCGTTAGAGGAACTGGATTCCATTGGTGTCTCCAGCTTCCTGCTAACACAGGCCTTGGGAGGCGGCAGTGGTGACTCAAGTAATTAGGTGGCTGCTGCCCACTTGGGAGACCTGGATTCTGTTACCAGCTCCCAGCTCCTGCCTTTCACCCCAGCCCAGCCCTGGCCATTGCTGGCATTTGGGAAGATCTCCCTCCCTCCCTCCCTCCCTCCCTCCCTCCCTCCTTCTCCTTCTCCTTCTTCTTTTCTCTCTCTCTCTCTCTGCCTTTTAAATAAATTTTTTTTCAAAGAAAGGGTTATATCAGGAAGAAAAGCTTTTGAATCAATCAGTGTTTATAAATGTTCAATACCAAGCAGAATACTAGAGATTACAGCGCATCATCCACCTAATTTTTGTAAAAATGATTTGCTAAATGAACGCTGATGCATTTAAATAACACAGCCCTCAAAGACTGTATTTACATTTAGTTGTTTTATTCTGCTAGGCCACAAGTCTTCCCCTTCCACCAAACTCAACTAAAAGGGAGGACTCCCTGGGATCACAGGTGGGCAGGTGTCACTTTAGGAAGAATCTAGAAGCAGATGATGCCCACAAAGTCCAATGGCACTAACTCAAGTGTTGGACTCCTTTCTTAATAATGAATCTGTCGGCATCATGACAAGTGTCTGGCAACTCAGATTTGTTCTAATATCCACTTCCATTCAGGTGGTAATTGGTTTGTATTCTGGATAGATATGGCTTGGAGTTTTCTTGTTTGTTTGTTTTTAAAGATTTATTTATTTATTGAGAGTCAGAGTTACAGACAGAGAGGAGAGACAGAGAGAGAGGTCTTCCATCTGCTGGTTCACTCCCCAAATGGCCACAGTGGCCAGAGCTGAGACAGTCTGAAGCCAGGAGCCAGGGGTCTTGAGGGTGCAGGGACCCAGGCACTTGAACCATCTTCTGTAGCTTTCCCAGGCCATAGCAGAGATCTGGATTGGAAGTGGAGCAGCCGGGACTTGAACTGGTGCCCCTATGGGATGCCGGTGGTGCAGGTGGAAGCTTAGCCTGCTACAGCACTGCACCAGCCCCCTTTGTTTTTGTTTTTCGTTTTTTTTGTTGTTGTTGTTTGTTTTTTGAGAGGCAGAGAGAGAATTCCCATCTGCTGATTCCCTCCCCAAATGCCTGCATCAGCCAGGGTCTGGGACCACAACACAAATCTCCCACGTGATTGGCAGGGCCCCAGCCACCTGGGCTATCACCCTGCCCCCCGGGGGCGCCTTAGCAGGAAGCCGAAGTCAGCAGCCAGAGCCAGGGCTGGGACCCAGCACTGCAGTGCGGGGCATGGCATCCTAACCACCAGACTGAATGCTTCCCCCAGACTTCCCACTTCCACTGCGCTGGGATGTGCATTCTGTGCCCCGTGACGTTCAGAGATGTGGACAGTGAGCAGGGACACATCTCTGCCATGGGGCAGCACCCCACCACCCCGGCCTTGTTGGCGTAAATGAGATTTTTTTTTTTTTTGACAGGCAGAGTGGACAGTGAGAGAGAGAGACAGAGAAAGGTCTTCCTTTGCCGTTGGTTTGTCCTCCAATGGCTGCCACGGCCAGTGAGCTGCGGCCAGCGCAGCGCACTGATCTGAAGCCAGGAGCCAGGTGCTTCTCCTGGTCTCCCATGGGGTGCAGGGCCCAAGCACTTGGGCCATCCTCCACTGCAGTCCCGGGCCACAGCAGAGAGCTGGCCTGGAAGAGGGGCAACTGGGACAGAATCCAGCGCCCCGACCAGGACTAGAACCCGGTGTGGTGCTGGCATAAATGAATTCTACTCAAGAACTTTTCCCAGTGCCCCCAAGTTCCAGGCGCAGGGCAAGCTGCAGAGGGTGGGGAGCCAGAGCCGCGCCCTGGAGGCCTGGCCCAGCCATCTTGCAGCGTGAGCTAGAACAGGACCCTGGAGGAGCTTGTTTCAGATTCCTCCCCTCCTGGCAGAGATTCTGGCCTGGGAAATAGGTTTCTAACAGGTACCTTTGGTGATTCAGAGGCCTGCCATCTGAAAACCACTGATCTAGAATCCTGGAAGAACATGACACAGAGTCAGAGAGGCCAGAGGCAGGGTGGTGCTGGGGGCAGGCTTCCCGGAGGAGGTGTTACTCAGCGGCTCACACACGAAGAGTGAGTAATGTTGAGTCCACAGCAGAGGTGAGAAGATCCTGGCTGGCCAAGACTCCGAGGGAGCCCGGGCACGAGGGAGAGGCGGCATGGCGGCAGTTTTTGTGGTTCTGGAAGGCAACGGTCAAGTTGAGCAGCAATGAGGGATGAAGTTAGAGATGGAAGGGGCCAAGGCATGGCGGCCCTGAGGGTCAGGCTGGGGAGGGGACACGGCCCTGAGGCCCAAAGGTGGCAGGCAGGGAGGAAGAGAGGGAGGGCAGCCAGCCACCGGTAGCACCATCCTACTTGACCTGGCCACGGTGGTGGGGCCATCTCCTTCCTCCAAGGGGTCATTTGACATTTGCAATTCCTCTGTGAGAAAACAGAGCCTCAGAAAAACTGGGTGACCCGAGCAAGGTCACGGCAGAGCCGGGCCCAAGTGCATCTTCCCCGGCACCCAGCTCTTCCGGCCGGTGTTTGCTGCCGACTGACAGCCAAGTGCTTGTCCGGCACGTGTTCCTGGTCTGTGTTGACAGCCACTTGGACTTCTTTCTCAGGTCTTGAACTCTGTCAAAAGCCGGTAGTGTCCCTCTGTCCTCTTTGAACTAAATTAAGGATTATCAGTGGGCCGGCGCCGCGCTCACTAGGCTAATCTCTCTCGCCTAGCGGCGCTCGGCACACTCGGGTTCTAGTCTCTGGTCGGGGCGCTGGATTCTGTCTCGGTTGCCCCTCTTCCAGGCCAGCCCTCTGCTGTGGCCAGGGAGTGCAGTGGAGGATGGCCCAGGTGCTTGGGCCCTGCACCCCATGGGAGACCAGAAAAAGCACCTGGCTCCTGGCTCCTGCCATCGGGTCAGCGCGGTGCGCCGGCCGCAGCGCGCCAGCCGCGGCGGCCATTGGAGGGTGAACCAACGGCAAAAGGAAGACCTTTCTCTCTGTCTCTCTCTCTCACTGTCCACTCTGCCTGTCAAAAAAAAAAAAAAAAAAAAAAAAAAAAAAAAAAAAAAAGGATTATCAGTAAAGGCTCAAAGTCTCCCCCAGCCTCCACCAAGGAGATTAGCGCAGTAATGAGAGAAATGATAGCAGCCGCGTATTGAACGATCAAGCCTGCCGATCGCTGGCACCAGATGCTTGGAGACCAAGCTCTTATGACCCCTGTTTGTTGGGTGGGAAAAGTCAGACAAGGCAAGGACTTGTACGTAGTCACAGAGTGAGGAAGGGGCTCCTGCGTGGGAGGGTAGGCCAGGGTTTGCTGTTGTCACAGGTGGCTCCAGACCTCAGACCTCCACCCTCCAAGGCGTATTTCTCATTCATCCTGCAAGTGCGTTACGGATTGGCTGTGGCCATCACCCATGTCACCCACGCTGTCTGGGCTCTGGGTCCTGGGTTGATAGAGTGGCCCTCATTGAAAGGATGGTGGCCTTAGTGCAGAGCAGAAGAGACCAATCCAGCCCCCGCTCCTGCTCTTAGATCCGCCCAGAAATGATAGGCACCACTTCTGCTATGCTTCATTGGCTAAAGCTGGTCACATGACCACTGAGTTCATCAGCTCTCTGTAGCTTCCACTTCCTACAACCACAATTGAAAATATTTGGAAAAAATATCATGTCTGCACTAATAAGCACACGCGGACTTTTTGTTCTTGTTGCTCCCTAAATGATACAGTGTAACAAGTACTTTATTTATGTTCTGTTAGGTGGGATGGTTAATCTAGAGGTGATTTAGGGTATATGAGAAGGGGCAGGCAAGTGGTGCAGTCACCACTTGGGACACCCAGGTCACTCCTGCAGTACCTGTTTAAGTCCCAGTCCGTCCACTTCCGATCCAGCTGCCTGCTAACGCGCACCCTGGGAGACAGCAGTGATGGCTCAAGAACCTGGGTCCCCGCCATCCACGTGGGAGCCCCAGATTGAGTTGTGGGTTCCTGGCTTCAGCCTGGCCCAGCCCTACCTGTTGTGGGGATTTGGGGAGTGAACCAGCAGATGGAAGAGGTCTCTCTTTCTGTCTCTCTCTGCCTTTCAATAAACTAAAAATAAATAAGTATGTATTGAAGTATATGGGAGGCTGTGCGTAAGCTGTAGGCGGATACTGTGCTGCTTTGTCTAAGGGACGTGAGCGTCCTCGGATTGTGGTGTCCTGCAGGGTGCTGAGGGGGCCGCATCCGCCTCCCATGGGGAGGGCCAACTGAGTAGTGATGCAGCCTGCACCAGAGCAGGGTGGGAGCCAAGCCCACGTTTGCAGAGTTTGGGCCCCGGCATCAGAACCCGCACTGTCAGTCACCATCCCGCCTTGGTTAGCGAGAAGCACGCGGCTCTGCCTCATCCCACTCCGCTGCTGCCTTGAATTTTAGGTCGTGGAAAACCGGCACCTGTGGTGCACGGGGCTTGGTACCGGGGGTCCTGCCTCTCGCTCAGGAAGCTTCTGAGAAGTGCCGTGCTTTGCACACCCAGGAGGTGCCTAGGAGGACGTTGGTTTGTTGAGCTGAGCCAGCCAGGAGCCGAAAGGCAAAGCAGATGTTCGAATCCCAGCTCAAGTGCCCTTCCTTTTACCTGGCTGGGGAATGAGCTATTTCTCAACAAAAGGTGCTGTGTGGGGGCGGGGGCGGGGAGGGATCTAGCCTGGCAGTGGAGACGCCGCCCTCCCATACCACAGTGCCTGGGTTCCATGCCCGCCCTTCGCCCTGGCTCCAGCTCTCTGCTGAAGAGGATCCTGGGATGTCTCCGTGCGGAGATAGTGGTGGGATTCCTGACACCCACGCGCCAGAGCTGCTCCCAGCTTCGTCCGCAGCCAGCTGGCACTTGGAGGGTGACCCCGTGGATAGAAGCCCTCTTGATTTCTAGATCTGTCTTACTCTCTCTGTTTTTCTCTGTCTCCCAGCTATTTTTTTTTTTTTTTTTTTTAAAGAAGATGATGTGGTTTGGGAGTCTTGGCTGAGCCCATGCATTTTTCTGCACGCAGACATGGAGTCCATTCTCAACAAAAGTGCATTGATTGGGTTGGTGCTGGCGTTTGGCACAGCAGCTAAGTCGCAGCTTGGGATGCTCACACTCCATATAGGAGTGCATGGGTTCGAGTCCCGACTTCTCCACTTGCGATGCAGCTTCCTGCTACTGCAGGAGATGGTGGATGATGGTCCACGTACTGGGGTGGAGACCTGATGAAGTTCTGGGCTCCTGGCTTTGACCTGGCCCGGCCTTAGCTGATGCAGCCATTTAAGGAACGATCCAGTGGACAGCAGTGTCTGTCTGTCTGTCTGTCTGTCTCCCTCCCTCCCTCCCTCCCTGCCTCCCTCTCTCTCTCTGCCTTTCAAGTAAAAATTAAATGAATAAATACAGTATTTTTAAAGAGCTTACCGATTACTTAGATAAAGAAGGAGTGAATCTGGTCTCTACAAAACGACCATCTCAGTAGGTAGGTGTTGTTATCCCCATTTTACAAAAGAGCAAACTGAGACCCAGGTGATGCTGTGTCATGGTCACGAGGGCCACACTTCTGCTCCACACGTGCCGCGACCCAGCCCCTACTCTAAATGCTTCACCCATGGCCTTTAGGAACCCCGCCACAGCCATCAGGAAGGCGCTAGTGCGGTCCCTTACTCAGTCTGGGATGCAGGTCAGTAGCCAGGCGGCTCCTTAGGATAAGATAAAGCGGGAGATGTGTGCGCCAGTGGCTGGTGGAGAGGAAGCCCTCACTAAATATTAACCATTTTCTCCAGTTTTATTGTCCTCATTAGCTACCGTTCTGCATTCGTGTTGTCAAAACCCGAGCTGCAGTCCAGAGTTCCCTCTTAATGACCGTGCGTCCCGTCCCCGGCTCCTCTCACGCTCTGGCCCCCCTCCAAGGGGCGGGAGGCTGGGGCTCCATGACTCCTGACCCCAACTCCCTCCAAACGCTTCCCTTTCGCCTGATGTTCACAGTGCTTGCATTTCGAGTCTAGCTGTTGCTTCAAGGTCAAGGTGTCCCATGCAGACATTTCTCGAGCCCATCTTCACAATGATGATTCTGAAAGACACTGGTTGCCACGTGTCCTGGGGGGGGAGGTGGGATCAGGTGGGGGGGTAAGAAGGGAGGGAGGGAAGGAGAGAGGCCCTGGGTCTGGAATTCCGTGTTGTACTTGTTTGGGTTCCATCTGGGCTTTTTTGTCTCTTGCTATTACTATCTTTTTTTGTCTTTTCAATTATTCAAATTGCAACCCTATTAGGATGGACCCATTGGGTAAGTAGCACCACCCACATGCTGAGATCCCTGCCTGGGCTTCAGCCTTTGACAAACCATCCCTGGCCCAGGGTAGCTTTGGTGCCTGACTCTGCATGGCACAGCATCTGCCCGGCCCGGTGCCAGGTTGGGGACTGGTGAGGCGGGGCGGTCTCCAGGGATCCCGGGCGCAGCTGGCCCTAAAGGCCAACGTTTTCTCTCCCAGGACAGCCGAGGCGTCCCGGAAGAAGAAGGAGAACCGGAGGAAGTGGAAGCGCTATCTCCTGATAGGCCTGGCGACCGTCGGTGGCGGGACGGTGATCGGTGAGGCCAGCTGGAGAGGGCGGCCCCGGGCCGGGGCCTGTGGAGCCACGGGCGCTCCAGGCTTGAGGGAGGAGGGGACAGTGAGGGTGGAGCGCAGCTGCCAGGCCGGGAGGCGGCCCGGGCAGGGGCCAGGTGCCCCGTTGGTAGTGACTGTGCCCTCAGCCCGGTTAGGTGCTCCCACAGAAGGCGGTGGCAGTCCTCCTCTGACCCTTACCCGCTGCAAACTGCTCTCCCTGCAGGTGTGACCGGAGGTCTGGCCGCCCCACTTGTTGCTGCCGGAGCTGCGACGATCATCGGCAGTGCCGGGGCTGCGGCGCTGGGCTCGGCGGCTGGCATAGCCATCATGACCTCGCTTTTCGGTGCAGCTGGAGCCGGCCTGACAGGTCAGGGTCAAGGGGTATGGCGGGCTAGGAGGGACTCAGCCTGGGTGGTCCACCCCGAAGATTGTCAGCAGCGATGGCTCCCTGAGGAGCAGAGGACACGTGGCTCTCCCCGCCCCAGGTCCCAGCCCTGCCACAACCTGCAGCCGCTACATGGGGACCTGGGGTTGCCCGCCAGGGGCCTGGCTGAGGGCCGAGTCTGAAAAACCCGCTTCTCCCCGTGTGTACCTCATGCACACTTGCAGAGGAAGACTCCCTGCTGCCACCGTCCGGGAGGTGTCTGATGAGCCGCCTGTGTGCAGGGGACATGCTGCCTCCCTGTGCCCACCTCCCCTGCGTCCACAGTCCCCACACGCACACACTGAAGTCCCAGCTCCACTACCCTGGCGGAGCTCACTCCCCTGTGGAGTCTTGCTGGGTTCCGTCCCCTCTGACTTAGGTGCCCAGGGAAGGGAAGAGATGCAGGGTGGAGCAGCGGTGAAGAGCCTGGGCTCTGAGTTCTGAGTTCAAATCCCAGCTCTGCCCCCAGCGGCTGGCTGGCCTCAGTGGCCATTGCCCTCTCTGTAATCAGGACCCTACTGGCACCTCCTGCGATGAGTTCAGAAACAAAAGACATTTTTCCAGAGGTGGGGCACACCACTGGCACATGCTGCACAAGTGTGAGCACAGCCGTGGTGCAAGTGTGAACAGACAGCTGCTACGAGTGTGAGCACAGCCACTGTGCGAGTGTGAGCACAGACAGCTGCGGTGTGAGTGTGAACACAGTCACAGTGTGAGTGTGAGCACAGACAGCTGCGGTGTGAGTGTGAACACAGTCACAGTGCGAGTGTGAGCACAGACAGCTGCAGGGTGAGTGTGAGCAGACAGCCACAGTGCAAGTGTGAACACAGACAGCCACAGTGTGAGTGTGAGCACAGACAGCCGCAGGGTGTGAGCCCAGACAGCCATGGTGCGAGTGTGAGCACAGTCACAGTGTGAGTGTGAGCACAGACAGCCGTGGTGCGAGTGTGAGCACAGCCACGGTGCGAGTGTGAGCACAGACAGCTGCGGTGTGAGTGTGAGCACAGCTGCTGTGTGGGTGTGAGCAGACAGCCACAGTGCAAGTGTGAACACAGGTAGCTGCAGTGTGAGTGTGGACACAGCCACAGTGCAGATGTGAGCACAGACAGCCGCAGTGTGGGTGTGAAGAGACAGCGGCGGTGCGAGTGTGAACAGACAGCCGCAGTATGCGTGTGAGCAGCTATTGTATGAGTGTGAACAGACAGCTGCTGTGAGTGTGAACAGACAGCTGCAGTGCGGGTGTGAGCACAGCCACCGTGTGTGAGCAGACCGCATGGTGCGAGGGCGGACAGCATGGGCCGGGTCACTTCCGCGCTCACCCCTGCGTCTGGTCCGCAGGATACAAGATGAAGAAGCGTGTCGGGGCCATCGAGGAGTTCACGTTCCTGCCCCTGACAGAGGGCAGGCAGCTGCACATCACCATCGCCATCACCGGGTGGCTCGCGTCCGGCAAATACCGTGAGGACCGGAGCGGGGAGGGCCGGGGCCGGGGCCGGCTCTGCGCTGTGTGTCTCTGGGTGTGGGTGTGGGGCCACCATTTGCCAGAGGAGGCAGCTGAGTCTCAGAGAGGCGAGATGACTATAGCTCACATCCATCTACCCACCCACACGTCCGTGCGTCCACTCACCCCTCACCCGGACACCTGTTTACCCGTCCATACCACAGCCAGCCAGCCAGCAGAGCCGCCTCCCACCTACCCAGCCGTCCACCCGCCCACCCAGCCACAGACTCCCAGAGGGCTGCACTTGTCGTGTGCTGTCCACGGAGCCAGGCCCAGGAGTTCAGTGAGCAGCGCCGCCATGCTCTGTTCCCGATGACAACACAGCACAAGACAGAGGACAGACGACATTGTCATAGGGGCACTTGATGGACACCACAGCAGAGGGTGTTTCTGGGGAGGGTTCCCGGAGGAAGTGGCATTGAGGCTGAGGGCTGGCTGGAGTCAGCCTGAGGAACAAGAAGCAAAAAGTGTTTACTAAGCAAAGGGGAAGTGCAAAGGCCCAGTGGTGCGAAAGAATCCGCAGGAGCCTAGGGTGGCTGCCGCAGGGGAGCAGTGGGGGCAGGGCCGGACCGTGCGTGAGCCTGGGGCTGTGACGAGGGCTTTGAATCTGTCCACAGAGCCAGGGCAAGACCGCGTGTGGGCGAGTGCACTTGGCCAGGTGATCTCAAGCAAGTCACTTACCTTCCCTGTGCCTCAGCCACTTAATTTGTCAAGAACAAACGTGTCCCTGCCTTCGAGGGGCGCTGTGGAGTAGTCTATAATGCGTGGGAGGCACCTGCCACTCATCAGCACTGCGTAGCGTCTGTTCTCCTTGCTGCTGTACTTTGCATGTGCACCTTTGGGGAGACCCTAACCAGGGTGGCTTGGAGGACTCACACCACGGTCCCCAGTGTGAGGTTCACCACCGAGAGACGGAGCAGGCGGGCCACGGGCTCCCCACGGTCCCAGCAGGCACAGGTGCTGAGAGCCCCCTGGGGGCCTGAGCCTCAGATCTGAGAGCGGCGCCACAGCTCCACTAAACGGCGTGGAAGAGAGCAAGTGAGATGCCATGAGAAAGTCTGGGGGGCCAGGCGTGTTGGTGTGTGACCGCCAGGCCCGTCCCCACCCATAGGGTCTCAGCATTCACTGAGCACCCACATGCACGTTCGGGGCATGGCAGGCATCCACCCCTGAGGGCTGGAGCTGTTGTTACCCTGGTGTGCCGCGAGGCAGGGGCAGGATTTGCACCCAGGTCTGCTGACACAGTGCAGGGGTTCTTGTTTGTTTATCCTCACTGCCCCGTGCTCCAGGGAGGAGGGGATTAGAGTCAGGGTCCCAGGAAAGGCATTGCCGATTCTGCCCGGTACAGAAAGCAAATCCCTGGCTTTGCCCTACCTCGGCCTGCTCAGTTTGCCCCAGGACAAAGGTCAAGTTCATTTGGGGGAAGAAAATCGTGTTTATGGTCCTCCAGCAGTCTAACACCGTGGCGTACCCAGGAGAGGGTGGTTCCAAGAAACACAGGTCAGGCATCCTTAATCCAGAAATCTAAAATTCAAAATGCCCCAGAATCTGAGGCAGCCTAGCACCACAGCACTTGCGGATTCGGGAGCATTTCGGATTTGGGATTTCTGGATTAGGGGGCTCACGTGGTAAAATCTATGTAAATATTCCAAAATTTAAAACCGGAAACATTTCTGATTCCAAGCATTTTAGGATAAGGCATGTGCAACCTGTCTAACCAAGACAGAGAAAGTTCCAGAAGGAAAAAGAATCACCTGCTCCTGTGTCTTTAACAGCCAGTAAAGGACCCTGGTGGTCGTCATGGGCTCTCCTGTACAGGTGGTCGACGTACCTGCACTTCTGCGGCCACCTTTAGGATGACCGTGGTTATGTAGAAGAAGAACAGCCTGTGGGCCCTGCCAGGAGCTGGCACCGAGCCGAGCGCCTCGCCTGCGTGGGCTCACTCGCTCCTCACGTCAGGCCCAGGAGGTGGGTGTGATTAGCACCCATTGTGCAGATGCGGAGACTACAGTGCCGAGGCAGGCGTCACCCCCACCAGTCTGGCTCCACGGCCCCTGTTCTAGCCCCAGGGCAAGGCAGTGCCGTGCAGCACCTGACCTCGGTAGAACGCTCCTCGCTGTCTCCTGGCATCCTCAGTACATCGGGAGCCAGATGCTAGGAGCCCACTCGCACAGACGCAAGACCGACGGTCAGAAGGGCAGGGTGCCTCGCGGGTGTCAGACCCCAGCTGACATTACAACAAGCCGTGTCCCCTGCCTGCTGTGCACTGCCGCCTCCCCCAGGGCTGGCTGGCTGTCACCTTACCTTCGTTAGAGACAGGGGATCGCTGAGTTCCTGCTGAGACAGGGTCCCCGTGGGAGGGGCAGCAGGTGCCACAGAGCTGTCCTCGTGTCAGCTACGTGGCTCCGTGCTGGTGAGGATGAGGCCTTGGGGTCAGGCAGCACCAGGTCGCTGCTGCTCGGGACCTGAAGGCTCTGGGAAGCCGACTTCCCTTCGTTTCTCATCGTGCTTACGGGGGTCCCTCCGAGCGTCAGTCGGTCGCATCACAGGCTTGGGCAATACGGTGCTCGGCCAAGCAGGCCGGAGGAGAGGCACTTGTCAAACAGAGGATGCGACAATAAGCATGACCACAGCCTGAGCTGAGAGCCTATAGGGAACAGTGCAAGGCGCCCTGGCCCGCAGAGGGGCCGGGAAGGCTTCCCCTGGGACAGGAGATTGAACCAGAATGGATCCCAGGCAGGGGCGGAAGGAGATGCACGCTTTGAAAAGATCCCACGGGCCATGGGCAGAAAGGGGTCCGTGGGGGCCCTATTGGGAGCCACTCTGCTCCTGACCCGCAGGCAGCAGTGAGGGGAGGGAGGGGGAAGCAGCCACGACTCCTGCCTGACGCTGGCCACAATGGTTCCAAGGAGGCCATTTTCCATTTCCATGTCCTACCTGAGAAAATTGAGCCCCAGAAAAAGGGGTGACCCAGCAAGGTCATGGCAGAGCGGGCCTCAAGTGCATCCTCCCCAGCGTCCAGCTCTTCCCAGTCTGTGTTTGTCGAACCAAGATGCTGCTGACTCCCAGCCACGTGGCTTGTCCCATCACAGGTCCCCACTGCGTGGGCAGCTGCTTCGTGCCGGGGGTGAGAAAATAATTCTTCACCTATAGAATAGTTCAAATACTTAATTCTTACAGCTACCCTAGGAAGGGAGATAAGTGTTCATCTCCCCACTTCACAGATAAGCAAAGTGAGGCTCAAGGTCATATAGGGATGTGCTCAAGGTCACCCAGCTGCTAATGAAGGCAGGTGTTGGGATTCAGACCCCACTCCTGGCACTGGAGCTATAGGGCCGTGCTCCACGTGCTCTGCTAACAGCTGCAACTCACAGGCAGGGGGTGTGCGTTCCCCTGTCACCGCCTGTCTGGGATGGGGGTGGGGTGGGGCATCCTGTGCCACAGACAAGAGCGACGCCACCAACCTGTGTTCTCCCCAGGCACCTTCAGTGCCCCGTGGGCTGCCCTGGCCCACAGCCGCGAGCAGTACTGCCTGGCCTGGGAGGCCAAGTACCTGATGGAGCTTGGCAACGCCCTGGAGACCATCCTCAGTGGCCTCGCCAACGTGGTGGCCCAGGAGGCCCTCAAGTACACCGTGCTGTCTGGTGAGTCTCCCTCCACCACCAACCACGAGCCCCAGGGATACCACGCCTTTGCATACCAGAGCCCACCTCCACCCGGGCAAGACCCTAGGGACGTAGAGAGAGAGCAAGGCTGCCTTCCTGCCAGAGAGGAGTTGAGGGGTCTTTGCGGGGAGAGGCGGCCGGCGGACCATCCACCGAATGAAGTATCTGTTAGCTGTCGTGTTACAAAACACACCAAGTCTTATCCACTTAAAATGGCAATCCTTATTGTGACGGCTCTGGTGCAGTTGGCTGATCTCAGCCGGGCCTGCTCATCTTGCCTCTGTGGGTAGGCCGGCTTTGCCTGGGCTGGCCAGAGCAACTTGGCTCTGTTCTGTCTGCCCCTCCCCCTGCCCCGGGGTCAGCAGGCTAGCCCATACCCCTGGTAGAAATGCAAGAGAGGCTAGCCCCGAGCATGATGGGCTGTGGCAAGGGGCGCTGCAGAGCAGGCGGAACACCTGGGTGGTGACGGATAGGGGCCATCTTTGGATTCTCACACGTGACGAGTGCCTGAGCGGAAGGGGTTTGGTGCACATATCAGAAATGCATGCGTTCCGGTTTCCCCTCTGCTATTTAGTGGTCTGAGAGTACTTGGGAAACGTGCAGGTTCCAGGTTCTAGACACTGCGTGGTCACTAGAGCATCCGTTAGTCAATCACTTCCCTGGATAGCTGGATAGGTAGTCCCGCCCATGCCTCCATCACCCTCATTGGTCTCCTGTCTCCCCAGGCATCGTGGCCGCCCTGACCTGGCCAGCCTCACTCCTCAGTGTGGCCAACGTCATTGACAACCCCTGGGGGGTGTGTCTGCATCGGTCAGCGGAAGTTGGCAAGCACCTGGCTCACATCCTGCTCTCCCGACAGCAGGTACCTGGGCAGGGCTGTGAGCAGGGAAGTGAGGGGACGGGTGTGTGCCCAGACATCTGCCTCTTGGAGGTGGCCCAGTGGCGCTGGGGGGCAGGGCGGTGGCTGCCCTGCTCATCTGAGTCCTGACAGCTCCCTGGGGTGAATGCATATGGTATAGACTGTGTGTCTCAAGCAGGGAGTTGGGGGAGGACTGAGTAACAGGGACCCCTGGGCAGGGCAGGGGATGCAGGCGGAAGGGAAGTGGCTCCTGCATGTCGGCTTCCAAAGGCCCCAGTGGTGCTGACCGGGCCCCTCTGGGTCTCTCAACAGAGACCTCTGAGCCGGGTTGCAGCGAGGCCAATGAAGGGACTGAGGGCTCCGCGGGCTGCCAGCTGGACGCCAGGTGCCGGTGGCCCGTGCCATGTGCCTCCCCAGGCCGTGAGGCCACCGCCCAAGGGAGTCTGCCGTGGTCCAACCCCGAGTATGATGGTTAGGACGACAAATCACCGCAGAGCTTTTAAAATCTGAGTGCGAGAAAGATAACCTCCAGAGGAGACGAAGCTCCCTCTTTAATCGGCTTGAGCAGAGGGCAGGCATTTGGCCTGGCAGTTAGGACCCTCGCCTTCCGTATCTGAGAACCTGGGTTCAGGGCCCAGCTCTGTCTCCTGACTCAGCTTCCTGCTGGGGCAGACCTGGGAGGCAGGGGTTATGGCTCAAGTGATTTGAGTCCCTGCCACCCACCTGGGAGACTTGGTTTGAGTGCCCAAGTCCCAGCCATGGTGGGCATTTGGGGATGAACCAGCAGACGGGAGCTTGCTCTGCATCTCTCTCTCTCTCTCTCCCTCCCTCCCTCCCTCTCTCCCTCCCTCCCTCCCTCCCTCCATATACATGTGTATCTCTGCCTCTCAAATAAATAAAAATAAATTTTAAAAGGCTAAGCATGAAGGAAATAGTCCAGAAATTTAAAAATTAGTCACTTTGAGTAAATGGATTCCAACATTTTAGGAACAGCATCAGAGGCAGCTATGACTGGGATTTGTTTTGGCTGCAAGTGGGAGAACCCCCAGAACAGCAGTGGTCTCTTACCCAGGGTGGTTTCTTTGGCCTGCAGAGGCCGGGGAGCACCGTGCCGCTCCCAGATGCCGTGCACGGTATGGAGGCCCTGGCTCCTTTGGTCTCGCTGCTCTGCCTAGGGCGGCCACAGCAGCGTCTCAGCTCTGGGACGCAGGGAAGGAGGAGCCAAGCGTCTGTGCGTGTCAGCCGATGTCTGTCAGCCAGCGCCCAGTGGCCACGGAAGCCGGGGTGCAGTCTTTACTGCAAATGGCAATCAAACCAGCTGACATCCAATTGCTGTAGTCGCCCATTGCCCTCCGGTGGGTGCCCCGCAGCAGCCCCAGCTGGGTGCCTGACTGCAGATAGTGCCGAAGCCCCTGATGCGGGCCCTCCAGAGAGTGGAAGCATGGCATTAAAAGACAGGGTTAGGGAGTGGGTGTTCAACCTGGCAGGGAGGGTGCCTCCCCCCACCCCATGAGTGCCTGCGTTCACTTCCAGCCCTGGCTTCCCACCAGGGCAGACCTGGGAGGCCGTAGTGATGGCTCAGAGAACTGAGCCCTTGCCGCCCGCGCAGGAGGCCTGGATGGAGCTCCTGGCTCCCAGCTTCAGCCTGAACCCGGCCCCAGCTACTGTGGACACATAGGGGTGAACCGGCAGATGGCAGCTCTCTCCACCTGTCTCTCTGCTCTTGGGTAAATAAAAAAATTTTAAGATTTTTTCCATAATACACATTTTCCACGGACTTCTTGAAGACCCCTCATATGCTGGGTGTTTTTCCACGCGTATGGATGCACGTGGATTTCAAGATTTCTTACATCACAATAAACTTAACTTTTAGTTCCATTGTCTGTGAACCTTTTGAATCTCCCCCAATCGTACCCATGATAAAGCTTACATTATCAGTGGGGCACAGTAAGAGATTAACGATAACCAAGAACAAAATAGAACAGCTATAGCAATAGACTGTAATAAGAGGTGAGGTAGGTGCATGTGGTCTCCCTCTCGGAAAACCTTATTGTGCCGTAGTCACCATTCCTGCGGCGATGGGAGGTGACGCAGGTACCTGGGTGATGACCTGAAGTGAGACGATACAGTCCTGACACAGCGCAGGCTGCTACGGGGTGGCTTGACCACCAGCTCCGCAGTACCGCAGCCGTCGATCTGATAACCGAGACGGTTCCTGAGTGCCTAACGGGCGGGTGACATGCACAGTGTGGATACGGCGAGCGAGGCACTCCACGTCCTGGGCGGGATAGAGCGGCGTGGCACGAGATGCCATCCTGCCACTCAGAACAGTGCATGATTTAAAACGTGTGCACTACTTCCTTCTGGAGTTTTCCACGGAATGTTTTTGGACTGCAGTTGGCCGTGGGTGACTCAAACCACAGAAAGTGAAAGTGTGGGTAAGAGGGACCCACTGCACTCTGGGAAAAAGGGAAGCCTGACACAAGGTTGACCAGCAATGTCTGCCACCCAACCCCCGTATCTGCTGGGGGGAAAAAAAAAAAAAGAGATGGCCTTTGACAGCTTTGGCTGTAAGACAAGGACCAGAGCGGTGTTGGCTGATCAAGCAGGAAGCTCACTCCCTCCCATGTCACAGTGTGAGTGCCAGCGTCCAGGGCTAAGTGACGTGTGTCAGTGTCCTACATGAGCTTGGACGAATGACCCAAATGTGCTGCCTTTAAACAAATTCCAGGGGGGCCGACGCTGTGGCACAGCGAGTTAAAGCCCTGGCTTAAAGCACTAGCATCCCATATGGGCGCCGGTTCTAGTCCCAGCTGCTCCTCTTCTGATCCAGCCCTCTGCTATGGCCTGGGAAAGCAGTAGAAGATGGCCCAAGTCCTGGGGCCCCTGCACCCACATGGGAGACCTGGAAGAAGCTCCTGGCTCCTGGCTTCGGATGGACACAGCTCTGGCCCTTGCGGCCATCTGGGGAGGGAACCAGCAGCTAGAAGACTTCTCTCTCTCTCTCTCTGTCTCTGTCTCTGTCTCTACCTCTGTCTGTAACTCTGTCTTTCAAATAAATAAAATTTAAAAATAAATAAAAAATAAATTCCTGGGGCCAGCGTCTTCCTGCAATGCTGGCATCCCAAGTTGGAGTGCCAGTTTGTCTCCCAACTGCTCCACTTCTGATCCGTCTCCCTGCTCCTGTGTCTGGGAAGGCAGCAGAAGATGGTCCAAGTGCTTGGGCCCCTGCACCCACAAGGGAGACCCAAATGAAGCTCCAGGTTCCTGGCTTCAGCCTGGTCCAGGCCCAGCTGTTGAGGCCATTTGAGGAGTGAAGCAATAAAGGGAAGATTCTCTCTCTCTCTCTCTCTCTCTCCCCTTCTCTCTCTCTCCATATAATTCTGCCTTTCACATAAGCAATCTAAGTCCTTAAAAAGCAGATCACTTGTCTCACGGGTCTGAAGAAGACCAGATGCATCCGCAGGGCTGCGTTGCGCTTGGGGATTCCAGGAGGCATCCGTGTCCTTGCCTCTTCCAGCTCCCGAGGCCACCTGCGTCCTCTGGTTCATAGCTGCTTCCTTCCGTCTTCAAAACCAGCAGGGCAGCATCTTCACGCCTCTTCCTGTTCCTCTGACCCTGTCATCCTTGGTCTGGGTAACTGGTCCTCCTGCCTCCCTCTTACGAGGCCCCGTGTGATTGTTACCCAGAGAACCATTTCAAAATGATGCTCCCCATTTCAAAATGCTTAACCTGGGGTGGGGGTATTCACACCCCAAATGGCTACAACATCCAGGGCTAGGCCAGGCCAAAGCCCGGAGCCTAAAACTCTGTCCAGGTTTCCTACATGGCAGACAGAGACCCAACTAGTTAAGCCATCATCTGCTACCTCCCAGGGTGCACAGTGGCAGGAAACCAAGTCAGAAGCAGAGTAGCCAGGACTTGAACCAGGCACTGTGATGTGGAATGCAGGCATCCAAAACATCAACTTAATCACTGCACCAGACACCTGCCCCCGAATTCTATTTCTGGAGGATTTTTCCACTGTAGGAAACGGAGTGGGGAAGTGGTCGGACTACCTGTATTGATGAAAAATTAAGGAGACGGAGGCTGGTGTTATGGTGCAATGGGATAAGCCACCACTTGCAACACTGGCATCCCATATTGGAGTGCCAGTTTGCTTCCGATCCAGCTCCCTGCTAATGTGCCTGGGAAAGCAGCAAAAGATGGTCCCAAGTGCTTGGGCCCCTGCACCCCTATGGGAGACCAGGGTGGAGTTCCTGACTCCTGGCTTCCACTGGGGCAGTGGCCATTCGGGGAGTGAACCAGAGGATGAAAGCTCGCTCTCGCTCTCTCTGTCTCTGTCTCTCTCTCTCTCTCTCTTTCCCTCTGTCTGTCACTCTACCTTTCAAATAAACCAGAGTAGGCCTCCAGAGCTCATGTGCCCCTTCCTTCTTTGTCCGCGGAGACTTGTACCCACATACAGTCAGCATCTACATCCACAGGTTCCCATCTGCTGGATCCAACCAACTACAGATGAGAAACATCTGGGGGAAAACAGGTTCCACTGTTGCTGGCGTGTCCTGTGTGGACAGGCCTATGGTGTGGCATCTGTGCACATTTGTTTCCTTGTCACTGTTCCCCCAAGCGATACAATGTAGCAAGTATTTACATGGCGCTTACCTTGCAGTAGGTGTGATAAGTAATCTAGACAGGGTGTAAAGTACAGGGGAGGATTGCACAGGTTGTGTGCAAAATAGGAGGAACGGCACAGATTGGGGTGTCCCTGGGGGTGTGCATCCAGTTCCCCCCAAGGATACTGAGGAACGACTGCTGTGGGGAGCAATCCAGACTGGACTAAGTTACTGGAATTAAGACTTATTCTATGCATCTGCTCTCCCACAATATGGCGCTGGGAGAGAAGTAAACAGCTTCCGCACAGCTGCCTCCAGTTCAGCTAATAAACTGTAGGACTTGCTCCTGATTGGAGGAGAGCGGCGTACTCGGCGTGTGGGCAGCCGAGTTGGGATTGGCGGAGGAGGACTATAAAGGAGGAGAGAGACGGCATGCACCAGGAACATCTAAGGGGAACATCTAGCTGAAGGAACACCTGTGCAGCCCCCGAGAAAGCCGGCCGGCGGTGTGCCGCTCCCCTGCGGAAGTGGGGAATGTGGCAGGGGGAACTGCCCTTCCACGGAGGTGGAAGGGATAGTAGCCAACCCGGGAAGAACCAGCAGCAAACCCGGGGAGGGCCGAGTAGACGAAAGAACAGCGCAGGGTCCTGTGTCGTTCCTCCACGAAGAGGGGGAGCGACAGACTGCACCAGATTCCTTTCATTTATGTTGGAGACTTTCTGTAATAGTTGCCTTTTCTGGAAAATTTTTTATGTTTATTTGTTTATTTTCATCTCTTTGAAGGATAGGATGACAGAGAGAGAGACAGACAGACAGACAGACAGACATAGTCCATCTGCTGGTTCACTCCCCAGATGCCCACAATAGCCAGGGCTGGCCCAGGCTGGGCCAGGAGCCTGGAGCTCCATCCGGGTCTCGCACGGAGGTGACCAGAGCCCCGCACCTGAGCATTGTCTGCTGCCTCCCAGGATGTGTTAGCAGGAAGCTGGGTCAGAAGCAGGGGAGCCGGGACTCGAACCAGGCACTCTGATGTGGGGTGTGGGTGTCCCAGGTGGCTGCCTAACCCTCTGTGGCACAAGACCCACCCCATGCATTTGACGTTCTACCTTAACTTGGCATTTAAAGCCAGCTTCCTGTCTAGAAGCAGAACAGTTGTCTGTCTCGTGTCACCCTTTACCCTGCCACCGTCACACCTGAGGTGCCCCCTGCTAATCTGCCCGCATCCAGTGCAGTCTCACAGCACTGCAGGCATGTGCCACCGGCTGGGGAGTCCTGAGAAAGGAGCTCTTGTAACTGCCTGACCCCGTCTCCTGGGGAAGAAGAGACAGTGGCTGATGATGGCTTGAGATGAAAGGGAATTAACCCAGCCCAGGGCTGCCTGCTGGCCTTGAGAAAGCCCGTTCCGGCAGCAGGTGCACGCCTGCAGAAATGAGGGCGCTGACTCCCCAGTGAAGACTGCGTGGGCTGGGCCAGCGCAGACATGACTCACGGAGTGTGAGGAGGTCCTGGGGGGTGCAGAGGCCACACACATTGCGGCCCACGTCACTAGATCTGGCTGTATTCCTCAGATGCTGTGTCTGTCCCCCTCCCGCCCCCAGGGCCGACGACCTGTCACCTTGATTGGCTTCAGCCTGGGAGCCAGGGTCATCTACTTCTGTCTGCAAGAGATGGCGCAGGAGAAAGGTAAGTCTGGTTCGTCGTCACAGACCAAAGCCTCTGCCTGCCCCCAGGCGTGTCCCCCCAGGCCAGAGGTTCTGGGCCAGGAGTCGTGAGCCTTGCGAAGTGTGTTCTGAGTTCCTAGAAATAAGAGGGGCAAGATACAAATAGCTTAAATATAGAAAAAAAATCAGTTAAAGCATTTGGAAATCGATTTGTCTGCACCCAGATTAGAGTGGTTGAGACACAGACAGGCCCATCGCCGTGGACCTGTCCCCGTGATCCGATGCACATTCTCCAGTGGGAGGGAGGGGCCTGAGGTGTTCTAACTCAGAGGTGGGCAGGGCCACGCTGCCTCTGGCTGTCCCTCCTGGCTCCCAGGGACTGCCAGCATCTGGCCTCCGTTGGGTCTCCTCACTCCAGTGTCCGCCCCGGTCATCACGGTCATCACGTGGCCTGGTCCTTCGTGTCATCTTCCTTAAGGGCAGTGCCATTGGATTTAGGGTCTGCCCTGATCCAGTAGGATCTCATCTCAAGATCCCTAATTACATCTGCAAAGACCCTTCGTCCAAACAACCTCATTCGCAGGTTCTGGGTGGACCTATATTTGGGGTGGGATGCGGGGGGCACCAACCCACTTTGGACAGCTTTGAGAGTGCGCTGTGCTGAGGCAGCAGAGGGCGTCGGTGGGGAGTGGGGGTCCCAGGGCTGGATGCTGGCTCTGACGCACCTGTCCGCGGAGGTGGCCCGTGGGAGGGGCTGGCTGGGAGAGTCAGATGCAGAGCTGGGGGCGTTTGGGGTGTCCCCTGGTTCCGGGGGTGGGAAACGCCCTCCCTCCTGGCAGAGCAGAGAGGCCACAGGCTGAGAAGCCCAGAGGAGCCCGTGAGCTGGGGCGCAGCAAGGGGAGAGAGTGAGGGGCTGGAGTGTCGGCCCCAGTCTCACTCAGGGCTCAGCGAGTGCCGCTCTGAGCCTCCGTTTCCCCACCTGCGAAGTAGAGCTGGTGCCCACCCCCCACTGCCACATGGGGTTGCTGAGGAGCAGGGGAGGCGGCCCAGTCTCTGTGTACAACTCCAGACCCCACTGAACCGCGCCAGCTGGCGGCTGTCACTTGACAGCTGTCTGTCCGAGGCAGCCTGTCCTCTGGCAGCCAGGCAGATGGTGCAGCAAAGGGGGTGGGGACAGGTGCCACTGATGGGTCCTGAACGCTGCAGTGACACCGCAGCTGGCTGCTCTCATCTCAGCCTGGTGGGCCAGAGGGCACAGACCCTGGAGCTCAGACCCTTGCTAAACTGTCTCCCCACCCTCACCATGGACCAAGGCCAAGGGTAGTTTCCCTGGTTACCAAGCAGGTGGACGTGCGTCCCTGGCACTGGCTGACTGCGGAAGGGCCGTGTTCCTGTCCCCACGCCCCCTGCCACCACCTCCCCACACTCCCTCTTGGCTTTCAGGAGCCTCCCTCTCCCCCTGGCTCTGTCCACATCAGTGAGGCAGTCAGAAGGCACCTCTGTCCCACTCATGGGGACAACCACGCACCAGGACGCGAGGAGCCAGCTCAGGGCCGAGTTCGTCAGGAAAATCCAGGCTGATGTCAGAGGTCAGACTAAAACCACCAGGGAGGTGGCTGTGATTTGGGGACAGGCAAGTTTCTGCCGTGGAGAATAAGGGACCTTCCCTTTGCTTAGACAGTCTCTCCCTTCCCTGTACCTTAGAGGTAGACCAAGTCAGGCAGAAACCCCCTCCTGCCCCAGAAAATCAGCTGGGACCCTCGGGCCCACCAGGGGAAGCCCACGGATGCCACAGGTCTCCTCGGCCCTGCAGGCTGTGGCTCTGCTGCGCACCACGTCCCGGACTCTGCCTGCTCAGTGCCGACGCCTGTGCCCCTGCTGCTCTGTGAGAACAGTACCCACAGCGTGAGGCTGTCTCTCGGGAAACAGCAGGACACGGCATCTCTGTTATAAACGCCTGGGGGCTGTGGAGAGGCGGGCTGGGTGTAGCAGTCAGCCCTGGCTGCAGGGATGCTGCCTAACAAAGTGCCCCAAACTCAGAGGGTCACAGCCACAGACATGCTCGTGGCAGGTGCTGTGGCCGGCTGCAGCCCAGCTGACCTGAGCTGGGCTGTTTCTGGCTATACGGTGGGTGGGTGGATGTGGTCCCAGGCTGTGGGTTTCGCTCAGGTCCACTGTGTGTGTGTGTGTGTGTGTGTGTGTTCTGGTACAGTTGAAGGGGCACCAGGTCCTCTGGGGTGCATGCTTAGGTAGCAAACCCAACAGTGCATCTTTTAGAGTTTGGCTTGTGTCACGTTCGCTCACTTTTATCATCGTTATCTTTTTTTTAATATTTTATTTATTTATTTGAGAGATAGAGTTATAGACAGAGAGAGGTAGAGACAGAGAGAAAGATCTTCCATCCACTGGTTCACTCCCCAAATGGCCACAGTGGCCAGAGCTGGGCCTATCTGAACCCAGGAGCCAGGAGCTTCTTCCAGGTCTCCCAGGTGGGTGCAGGGACCCAAGCACTTGGGCCATCCTCTGCTGCTTTCCCAGGTGCATTAGCAGGGAGCTGGATCAGAATCGGAGCAGCTGCAACTCAAACCAGCACCCATATGGGATGTCGGCACCACAGGCGGGAGCTTAGCCTGCAATGCCACAGTACCGGCCCCATCTTCATCATTTATGGCTGCCAAACCACCTCTGCAAACATGGTTTTCTGAACACAACAATGCCCGATTATGTCTCCCAGTTCCGTGGGTTGAGAGGCCGTTCTGTCTCACCCAGGCTCGCTCATGCCACTGCGGCCAGGGCTGGGCCTCCTGGGAGGCCCAGGTTGACCTCACGCGTGTGTCTGGCCATCTGTGGAGCCGCGGCTGGTGCAGGCTCCTCCCTGCTGTCTGCTCTGCTCCTCCCAGGGAGGCCTTGGAAAGTCGCCGTCCCCCGTGCTGCGGCCGCTTTGCTCCCGCCCGGCCTATGCGCAAACCCTCTGCCCAGCTCATCACGTGGCATGACAGGGTCTTATGAAGGGAGAAGGCACGTCCGTCCCTGCCTCCAGGTAGCAGGAATTCAGGTCAACTTCAGATCACTAATGCAAGCCGAGCCGTCCCTTCCCCTCCAAGCAGACCAGATTCATTCGGCCGTGGGACAAGGCCAGCAGGGGTGCCTGCTCTGTGAGTGGAGTGACCTTGAAGTCTCTGGGCAGAAGCCCTGGCAGTGTGTGGGTCAGGATGGCTCGGCGATGCTGCCGTGACAAACATCCCCGAGTCTCAGAGCTGTAACAGCAAAGGTTAGCATCCCGCTCACACTGCCTGCCCACTGCGGGCAGGCACGGGCTCCGATCCCAGCGAAGCACTCAGACCCCAGGGGAGCCAGGCCCCCTCTAACATCTGGTTCCTCAGTAAGGGGTCAGAGAAAACGGTGGGCTATGCACTGGCTCGCACTCACTCACGCTCTCTTTTTAAATAAGAATTACTTGTTTATTTGACAGATACACAGAGAGAGAAGCTCCATCTGCTAGTTGACACCCCATATGCCTGCAATAGCTGGAGCTGGCCCAGACCAAGAACTCAATCCAGTTTCCCACGTGGGTGGCAGGGACCCAGTCACTCGGGCCGTCACTGCTGCCTCCTGGGGTCTGCATGGGCAGGAAGCTGCAGCCAAGTATTTCTGTTGTTGTTCTTAGATTTATTTATTCATCTGAAAGACGGAGTTAGAGAGAGAGAGGGAGGGACGCATAGAGAAAGATTTTCCATCTGCTGGTTTACCCTCAAAATGGCCACAACAGCTGGGACTGGTCCAGGCCAAAACCAGGAGCCCAGAACTCCACCCAGGTCTCCCATGGGGGTGGCAGGGACCCAAATACTTGGACCATCCTCTGCTGCTTTCCCAGGCACATTAGCGGGGAGCTGGATCAGAGGCAGAGCAGCCAGGACTCTAAGTGGCGCTCTGATATGGGGTGAACCCGGGCACTCCAGTGCAGAGCACAGGTGTTTTAACCAGGCCACGTGCCCACCCCGGGCTGGTGGTGTGTGTCTGCGGGAACACCACAGGTAGTGGGCCACCATGCCCACGTGCCACCCCAGGGACCCCTGAGGCTCTGCAGAGCCTTCTCGGTCTGGTGTTCAGGTTCCCCGAGCAGCCTGGGCGGGCTCCCAGTGAGCATTCCCTGCCTTCTGGATGAGTTTCATTTTGTTTTTAAGATTTATTTTATTTACTTGAAAGGCAGAATGTCAGAAAGAGAAAGAACGAGAGAAAGAGATCTTCCATCCGCTGGTTCACTCTCCAAATGGTTCCAATGATGGGGACTGGTCCAGGCCAAAGCCAGGAGCCTAGAACTCCATCCAGGTCTCCCTTGTGGGTGCAGGGGCCCAAGCACTTGGGCCATCTTCCACTGCTTCCCCAGCTGTCAGCAGGGAGCCGGATGGGAAGCAGAATAGCCGGGACTTGAACCGGCGCCGGTACGGGATGTGGGCGTCAGGAGCAGCAGCTTCCCTGCTGTGCCACCGCGCCGGCCCCTGCCTGAGTACTTTGAACACTGGAGGTCACTGAGGAATTCCTCAGACAGAAAGGGGCCTGCACGCCACTGGGGTTTCCTGAGACCCCTCGGCCTGGCTATCTGATTGCTTGATTCTTTCACATCATCAACCCCAGCAGTTACTGGGCACTGACTCTGTGCCAGGTGCCGCCGGACACCTTACTCGTCCTGTGTAACCTCGACCAGTCCTCTGAGGTTCTTACTGTCCCCATTTTCTGGATGAGGAAACTGAGGCAGAAGGGAAGTCACTAGTGCATGGTTTGGGGAGTAGGAGTGATGAGGCTGGAGTTTGTATCCACAGTGGCTGGCCCACGTGCGTACTCACGACTTGCTCGCTCATCCTCACTGCAGCCTAAGGTCACAATCATTATCTCATGCAGGAAGCAGAGGCTCAGGGTGAGACCAAACTGTTGCATTTGTGGGTCCGTTCAGGTTTTGTTGTGCAAGTCCCTGTGGTTTCCATCAATTGCCCTCTGTCAGCCATACCCCAAACTCTCCTTGGC